TAGAAGTTATAACTTATCTTGCCATGATTACTTGATACATGTACATTGTAGATTGCATTTCAATGGCTCCATGAAATATAAAGATTACGAACAGTAATCAAGCTCAAAAGCCTATTTTAACAGTACAGATTAGGAGCAGAACAAAACGGACCTCTAAAAACATCAGAGATGGGATCGGGTGCCAAGGAGGAGTAATCATCCCCTAGCGACAGACAGGTCACATCCCCCATGCGCTCCTTGTTATGACTGGGCAAACTGAAATTCAGTGATTAGAATACATGTGTATCAGCACTACAAGTGGATAAATGTTCGTTAATATGGCCAAGCAGCGAAGGTCCTGCTATTCTAGAAATGATATAAACTGTTCCTAGATGTATTTAAAAAGACTTTGAAACAAAAGGTTTCTACATTTACATATGAGGATGCTGTCAAATTTAAAAACGTGTTATCTATTAAAAAGAACATTTCTGGCAACATGGAAACACAAAAAAATAACTTAAACGATATCAATCGATGGCATATGACAGGAAAAATAACAACCCCTCCTAAAAGTTACGTAACATTTTCTTAAAATTATTCAACCTGGTTACAGTGTTTAGAGTGATGATAAAGCAAAACTAAAAGATCAAGAGATCGCAGAAAATTTTTCGTCGGGCAAATGCTTTATAGCAGCTTTCCACATCAGTAGAGATACTGCCTAAGATGTATCAAGAAGGTCATCTGATTAAGTTATATTCATACCAATTGTAAACAAGTATTACGAAGTATATTTATTGAATATGCAAAGTGTAAGATTTAAAAAGCGAACTTAATATGGAGCGTTCGAATAAAATGTACGTTTATTTTCTCCTTGGTAAGAAACATAAGGTATTACACGCTAATATAAATTCTGACACAAGAAACTTTTTAATGTATTCTGAAAATACTTGAATTAATGTATTATTCTTAAATTGCTAGTACTTTTACACTGAAGTTGTTAATGATTATATCACAATTTTAATTTTTCGAGTATTTATTTAAAACATTAGATTGGAAAATAGCAGGAGACTTTTTCTGATTACAGAGTATCTAATGAAATGAATAAAAACAGATGTTAAACATTCTACAAAGAGGGGTTCACATTGGCTGATTTCTGTCTTATCTAAAATCAATAAACACTCAGCTCCATCTGTTATCTACAATAAATGTGTGTGTTCTTTAATAGCAAATGAATGTAAAATTTATGCTTGGTTTAAAAAAAAAATCCCTACTTTAATTAAATAACATTGTCTGTAAAAATGGGTTATAAATCTGTCCATCTAGCTAAGACAGACGTCAAGTTGCTAAAAACATCAAACAAATAAGTTTTTATGTACACCTGTACATATACAACAAACTAAAGAATAAGGGCCAATGATACCGGTATATAAAAAGCCAAAAAAGTAAATAAATAAATAAATAAATAAAATAAGTGTGAATTGAAGATACATTGCACATAATTTTGACTCTTTTTTCCCTATAAGTGCAAAGCATGTTTAGTTACAGAAGCATTAAATAATTAATGTAGAACCGAGATTTAAAATTAAGAACATTAACATCCAAAGTCAAAAATTCTTAAAGTTCACCTGTGTCCTATCTCTTTGTTTAGAATATTAATTTAAAAATAAAACAAGATTAATAAATAAAACTTTTTTATTCATGGCTCCGATTGCGCTTTTCATGTGTATCTGTTCAGAACAAAACAGGTTATATATAGAATTAAACAACAGAGTCACACCCATAAATAACTGGTTATATATAGAATTAAACAACAGAGTCACACCCATAAATAACTGGTTATATATAGAATTAAACAACAGAATCACACCCATAAATAACTGGTTATATATAGAATTAAACAACAGAATCACACCCATAAATAACTGGTTATATATAGAATTAAACAACAGAATCACACCCATGAATAAGAAAGATACCTTTGTATCCGTAACATGTCGTATTATTATGCGTTTATTTTTGTTTTGATAATGAAATCAATGCTTCTTGAAACCAAAAAAAAAAAAAAAAAAAAGAAAAAGAAAATAATAAATAAATAAATAAATAAATAAAAATAAAAATTAAAAAACAAAAAAATAAAAAAATAAATAAAATATTAAAATAATCATTACCGGATCTTCAGCTTTAAATTTTTGAAGAAAGAGAAAGAATTAATTTAAAAATGAATTGATAACAACTTTCAGAAAATTAAAGAGATATTTGCCTTTAAATTTTTTTTTTTTAGATACATGTAAATTTGTACTATTATCTAAAAGTTAAAAATTCCGTAGACAGGGATAGAATTTCCTTTTCTTTTATTGACATTTCTGGACAGAGAGTTCTGTTGGCGATATAACAAAGGCATGTGTTGTAATGTAACAATTAAAGTACCTTTTATCTTTCCCATATCGTTTGGCGGGATATAATTATAGTGAGGTCCGATACAGATTAGTTCTTTTAAATTCCCATTCTCCGAGATAACATTAGCTTTATCACTGACACATGGACGTTTATCATATTTATGAGAACATGCACGTGTGAAAATTTAAAGAAATACCAGATATTAATATAAATAAAGTCCGAGCGATTCCATCGGGAGTGTTTAAAGCAATGCAGAGCGGTTCTGAAAAATGTATCTACACGTTTTCTTCACATGCATGTACTCTGCCTTCATCATGCATATATGAAGGTTTCCAAGGAGTATTTTACGATTTGGCAGTCCTCATGATCAGTGACTTTACAGGCCATTCGGGATTCTATTTCTACTTTCTCATTTTGTTAATGTAGTCGATATATAGAATTATTTTTGTACACTAAAGATTACTGTACACTAAGTCCGATAAAATAAAATTAAGACATTCAGTCTAAAATCTGTCTCTCAAATGTGAAGACAAAAGAATAATTATATCTGCTGTTTATTGAATAGAAAACACTGTCAAGGATACAGGATTCCTGACTTGTTTGAGCTCATATTGGAATTGCATGTATCTGGTATCTGTCTTAAAATTACGTAACTTGAACGTCATTCATTTGAACCTGGTATAAACAGTGTTTCGTTTGGATACAGATAATTTCGATTTGACAGCAACAACTGAGAACGAGTTTGCGTCAAAGATACTTGTTATGAGAATTCGTTTTTGAATAGAGTAGATCTTGTGATAGGTTATAACAAATTGGGTTTAAAAAAAATGACATTACATTGTGTTCTGTGCTTTAATTTCCTGTTCTCTTTATTCCACTGAATCTAGATGAATCGACTGTTTAAATTTTTTTTGACTCTCGAAAGACAGAAAGGCGTCAAATTGTTAACTTGGAATTCCCCTGGTGTCAGGAAAGACAAGATTTACGATTTTTCATATTTACCACAGCGCGGTAAAAACAACATTTACAATATGACAAAATAATTAACGGTAAAGTATCTCTCCCCAAACACATCTCTCTTCACTGTGAAGTCGCAATGTCATACATCCAATGTACTATAATATACCTAAACGTATATTTCTACTGATCGTGATTCGTGAGCGCGTCGTTCGGCCGGAAAAAGTAAAAACACATGCGTGGATTACCATTTATAATTTTCATCAACTCATGTAAAAACACGCACAGACCACATAGATATAATGACCGAGGACCGCAAAATATTTGTTTTTGCAAATTAGAGATTACATCACCTCTATGAATTACCCACCTGTTTTATTATTGTGACTGATGAAAGGTCGAGAAAGAAAAAAAAAATCTGACAAATGAACCAAATATATGCCATTTTTTCTCTCTTTTCTTTTTTCTCGGGAAGGACACAAAAATCCAAAGGCTTGCCCAAATAAAGAGAATGTTATCCTAGTTCAACCATGGTGCTTGACTGGGATTACAGACTAATGTTCATACAATTCAGATGACAATGACAAACTCACGAAAACGCATTACAATAGTTAGCTGAATACTTTACAGATCATAGATTCCATCTGTCCATTAAACAAACATTTAGTCATAAATAACAAATAAGAAAAAAAAAACATAAGTAGATTGAAAGGAAGCCGTTGTATCCAGATAGAACCCATATGCCAAAACCAGCAACCACAACGAACTCTCGCATAGAGGACTATAGAAGTGTAATAAGCAGGCGAAAAGTGGGAATAGGTTAAAGACATCCTAGGAGATATGGGGCTGAAATAAAATCGCGTACACCCTTAATCTAAATTTAATATTGAGGATAAGAAATCCCCAAAATATTAACTACATCAATATCACAATTAATATATTCACATCATACATGTCACGTCTTTAATTAAAAAATTTTCAACTTATTTCTACGGTTTTATAATCTGATATCTGTGGCAGATTGAAATATATAATAAAAGGAAACTTATCATAAATAATTCATGGAATCACAATTTCTTACAATAAGAAACTGCATTGAATTTTCCCAAATGAAGAATTTACTTTTACTATAGGACTACTTTCTCACGCTATCGATATTCTCATTTCACACAAGTATTTCTCTTTTGATTAATACAGTTTCCCTTTCAAATTCAAATTCTAAAAAAAATGCATTCATATCTTACGGCATTGATTTATCTTTTTCTTTATAAATCAGTGAAGTTTAAATTAAATTTTATTTGCGCAGATACGCAATCGCATGCTATCTTACATGTACATTGTTTATTTGTCAGAAAATGTTGCATTAATCTTCAGGAAATTTAACGATTTGCATCTGAAATAATGATAGTGTATATTTTATTCTTCATTTCATAGGGTTATTCAAATGCATAAAAATTCTTTCTAAAAATAGAATTTGGATAAAAAAAATCTTGCAAATGTATTGTCGAAATTATTGATATCCATATTCAAAAACTGGACTCTTCATAACAAAAATGAATGTAGGACTATTTTAGCATTTAGTTATATCTGCCATGCTGATCAGTAGTGCAAACATGTTAATTCCATAATTAATCAACTTTAAATATCATATCAAACATGCTTCTTACCTAACGGCAGGACAAAAAAGAAAGGGAACCAGCAAAGGATAAAAACCCCAACCACGATTCCGAGGGTTTTAGCGGCTTTTTTCTGTTTGTTAAACTTTATTAACCGCTCTGACATATTCTGTTTCGAGTTTCCATTTAAAGCTGCGTTGCTACTAGTGCGCCCTGTATGAACTCGAAGTTTAATTTTCTTAGCGGATGAATTTCCCAACGTCGTGACTGTCTCCCCTTTTTCTAAATGTTTGTTATGTTTATTCACTTTTTTGAAAATCCTACAGTAAACAAATACAATAACAAACATGGGGATGTAAAATGATCCCGTCACTGAAAATATAACATATGCTGGTTCCTTATTCACGTGACAACTGGTCTGAACTACTTTCCGATCGTGCCGCCATCCAAATACAGGACCAATGGAAATGGCAAGCGAGACAACCCAAACAAGGGAGATAATCCAGCAAGCTCGTTTTTCAGACATAATAATTCCATGTTGTAAAGGTTTAGTAATTCCAATGTAGCGGTCCACACTGATAACACATAGGGTAATTATGGATCCTGTACACCACAATACATCCACAGAAGTCCAGAAAATACACATGACTGACCCGAAAGGCCAGTAACCCAAAATATCTAATGTGGCCGAAAAAGGCAACACAGACAAACCCAGAAGAAGGTCCGCACAAGCTAAATTAACAATAAAGTAGTTCGTTGTGTGTCGCAGATTTTCATTAATGGCCACTGCAATTAAAACTAAAAGATTTCCAAAAACTGTCATAAATAAAATACTGAAAAGCACAATTCCTGTTATCACAGCATAGGGTAAATCTAGTCCCTCCGAGTTTTGGTACACGTCCAAAGTCCCGTTGCTTAAATTCATATTGGAAGCCAGAAAAGGGGGATTTATGCTCCGTGGTTATACTCCTGACTGATCTTATGGTAAACTTAATTTCTTTATAAACCTCTACATGATGTACTAGTGGCGTGATACGCTGGTCTCGGCCTTCGTCAATATTCAATATTTTCTCGACTCGTCTCAACGAGTTCTCGCGCTTAATTTGGCAAATCCTAGAAATATTCCTTTTTCTTCACAATGTAACCAAGGTTTATGCTGTATTCGTCTTCATTAGAAGATTCTGAAGAAGATTCATTAAGATGGATAAACTTGCTTCATTTCACTGCCAAAATGAGTTGGGTAATTTTATTCACATTTATGAGCTGCTTGCCCTTGCTTCTCTGTACGCGACTACAAAATAAAAAAGAAAAGGCTCGCACTTCCTATTGCTTGCTTTCACACACACACACGTTATGAATGGATAAATTTTGCATATCATTCTGCATTACAATGAGCGCAATGATGCTTCTGTGTGGATTGGTTGAATGTACATGTATTATAGGATTGCAAGTATGCACTACCTAACTTATAATTATAGTACAAGAGAGAGAGAGAGAGAGAGAGAGAGAGAGAGAGAGACTGTGTAAATGCTGAAGATTTTTTAAACTAATTTACATCAATGAAATTTTTCTTACCTTCTCGTCTTTGATAAATATGGAGCCACAACGTGTTTTTAAATTTAAAAAAATCAAGAAAGTCTTATCCGAACTAGACCGAGTTCCTGTATTGCCATGAAATTTAAGTGCAATAGACTTTGATCAATATGGAAAAGGTGTGTCCTGATTTATTTTTTACAATACACCATGTCTGCAGTAGCGACAGCTGGAGAAACGCATCAATTCATTGTCTTATGCTGGTCATATAAAAATGCTTAATTAAGCTGTGTCAACCTGAAATCGAAAAATGAAATATTGTAGCAGAAAGAACGGTCGACAGAATTAAACTAAAAAAATAATACATGCATTGGTGCTCTAACAAACTATGCATTACTATGGTTTCAGAGTTTTTACTATAGATTCATCAAGGTAACAAGTGTTTTTGATAAAGAAAATCGAAGTTTTTATAATAGCAAAGTATTTTTACCATGATCGTGAATTTCAAATCGTTCAATTTCATTTTTTCCGATTCATTCATGCGATATTTTTAGAGGAAAGATTAATAGTTAATCAATTTATCATAGTAAAATTTCTCAGAATCATAGTTATCATACTATCAAAGTAAAGTATCAAAGTATTAAATATGTATAATTGTAAATACAGTTAAAGTGACACTGTGACGGACAAACGGGAAAATTGACAACAGTAGAATTTTTGCATGATACATGCAAATTTTGTTCAGTTCTTGAAGATATTAGGTTTCAGAAAATTACAGGTTTCAGAACCTATAAAATCTAATTTAATGGAGAACAATAAAAGTAAAAAAAAAAATCTTTGTATAACCCATCACAAAAATATTGCTTCACTTCTTCCTCTTTATTGTACGCATGCGCCGAAAAGTTGAAGAATTTTCCATGGATATAAATGTCGGATGACTGAGAATTTTGATACAATCTTCAAAAAAGATTATCATAACTTATTCCTTACTTCTGCTTGCCCCAATTCAATGTTGTTTACAAGTTTCACGCTAAAAATAAAGGACGCGTGACCTTGACACTGTTGACATTGACGATAAAAACAAAACGATAGATACAACATTTGTTTTTCCGGCTGTTATATTTTGCAGTTTTTTTTTCTTGCTTTACAGTGCAGTTGAGTTGTCAAAACTTCGCTATATTCACATTTCACAGAAATCTTTTGTTTTGTGATACACTTTTCTTAAAAGAAACACCTGGTTTTGACTCATTATGCAACTTTAACTAGACTAAATTTTTGTATAGATAGATACTAATACCACAACTGCAACGAGAAGACATGCATTTTTTGCCAAGAGAAAAAAAAATCAACGAAACTGGCCATTAATGGTAATGTAATTAGTATCATTCAACAAGCTTTTTTTTTCTTTGTTTAATTATCAGTTCTCTGCTTTTCTCTCCTCCTATCAATTCCTGTGTGAAGCTTTAGAACACGGACATTGCATCAACAAAAAACAAAATCCATGATGCCACTACATCTTCACCTGCGATGCATGTTAAGGTTTGTATACTTTTGCAATTTTCGTCCCAGCTATTCTTGAAAAAAAAATCAGTAGATTTTAAACTCCATTTTGAAACATAAAATATTGTCCTATTCTTGGCCTCACTTCCCTATACTTTTTCTATAAAGCCTTGATTAGGCAAAGTTAATTGAACCTGTATATTCAAGCAACAAACTTGCACCTAGTGATTAATAATTGCTACTTTTCTTGTTATTGAACATGAGAATTTTGCAGGCGTTTTCCTTTCTATTACTATGTAAAATTTGTTATTCCCTATCGTTGCCTTATTTCGTGTCTAAAATGACAAAATGTGTCGGTGTAATTGGAATCTTCATTGGAAAGAGATATTGTAAATATCAGTTTAACAAAATTGATTTCAGGCTTTTGACTACGTTGTCATCGCAATTTCATTTAAACTCAATCCCAGGAAACGATCTTTATTCCCAGAAATTTAGTCAATCCAAATTCTGCTGGCTTATGTATGACATGGAAAATTTGACCTGTCCAATACAATACAGACGCCTTTTATAATAGTAACTGATATTGGTCACGTTGTTTAAGCAAAATAAAACTGTATGATAAAATGCTGGCCAATAAAGTGAGAGTCAGGTGAAAAATGAGTAGTACATGTATTTGAAAGATAACTCAGACAGTTCAGTTCTGCCTTATTAAAAAGAAAAAAAAAAAGAAAAAAGAAATCTGAGGACACGTACGTGACATTGCGTCATGGGTCTTTATTTGAGGCAGACCAATTACTCAGCTCGGAACTGAATTAACATCTAAAGAAACGAGTAAAAACAGCTCTACGGAAGCCATTGCGAAAATTAACAACGAAATCCAATCACGCACGGGTCACCCAGTGCGCCCGGGTCAGCGGTTTGATATCCTCTGAAGCATTAATTTGTGAATCATAATGAACGAATATCGTAATGATTTCAACATTGTAACGAGGCAAACAAGTCAAGATCGATAATTGGGAAGAACATAGTGTCCGCGCGGAGGTATTTCCGCTAAATTATGCAGTATTTGTGCTTTGGTCCAGTGCAATACATGAGCATAAATATCTCACTTCAAACAAAGAAGCAAATTCATTTTTAGATTTTTTTTTCTCATGAAAGCTATAGAATAAAAGTGTCAAATAAAGAAGAAATATTTGACTAATAATTATCTAAAATGGATATAAATAATTATTGATATCCCATTTCCATCGAGAATGAAAAATAAAAAACACCCAATGATGCTCTTAGAAAGAATAAACTTAAATTTGATCGATAGGAATAATTAGCACTTTCTCTGAATAAATGCGAATTTGCATTTTGATATTTTCTGGATCATAATAAGCCTTTGTATAGATGTTTTTTCAAGCTTACGGTCGATACAGCATTACGTATTCCGGCCTTACAGATCCAAAATGCCCCTTTTTAAAATAAACTATTCTAATATACATAGCCAGAAATGAACACAATTTTAATGAAACCAATAAAAAAAGCTTAGAACTCAAAAACACGTCCACAGTCTCAGAATTCATTGGAAGGTAAATTAGTTATGCAAATCGAAAGGAAATAATTTAAATAACGCTAGCGCAATTAAAAATTTCAATTGCAAAACTATGTTTGATATATTCTTCTATCAAAATGATTAAATATCTATAACAAGATTAAATTTGAAAAAAAAAAAACTTGTAAATTTGGTTTGGAACATTATGTTCTACACTAGTCCTCTGCATGGAAATATTGCAATGTCATTTTCTTTCAATTAAAAACGATACCCCTATATGTAAGACATGAAGAACCCTTTTATTCATCCCTTTCTTCTACCGCAGAGGAATTGTCTGTATTTTGATGACATTCTGCAAACTTCAAACACTCTCCAACAGAATTCAAACTTTTGGCTCTCTTAAACTTCCTTTTAAAAACTTTAAAATATCAGTCAATAATTTAGATAAAATCTGTCACAAAAATGAAAAAAAAATGCCCATATCCAGATTGTGTATCAATTAATTAACTATGATCAAGTGCATGTCAGTTGATGATTAATAGCATATACATTGTATTTCAAATTTATAGAATGTGAATCTATGAACTTATCCTATTTAAATGTGAAAATTTGATAAATATCAATAAAAAATATGAAACATGAAATATAATCAAATAACAGGAGTTATAGAACCAAACTTTCATATTAGAAGTCTGTTGCATATCAACCCATCATTAGATTATGACGCGATAGTGCGATATGGCGATGATGCAATCGTGCGATTGGGATGATGCAATAGTGCAATGACGACGATGCAATAGCGTGATGACGACAATGCGATGGTGTGTTGACGATAGGGGGTAGCACGATGGATTTATATTAAACATCACTTCATCGTACCATCGTGTCATCGTATTGACACGTTATCGCTTCATTTTCCATTGCACAATCGTCATTGCATCACTGTGCCATTGCATCATTGTCATCACATTATTGCGCCAAAGCATCATCTCACCATCGTATCATCGCACTGTCGCGACATCCACACCATCGACCCAAACTGCAGTAGTAAAATAAATGGCACTGTCCGGGTTTTATAATACTTCAAAGAAAAAAAACATTGTAAAGATATTAAATTTTGCCTTTATACTTTTGAAAACAAAATAAAATCAAACAATGATCATTTTTCCCCTATTTAGCTCAGAATATTATATATACACAGAAATCTCTTTGTTCCATATAATTAAATATCGTGTAATTTTCAGTCTCTTATCTTAGGCATAAACACATTATGAACTTTGTGCGAATAGTTGAACAACCTTTATAATGCATATATGATGGATTGCTAGCTTTTTCTTTTAATTACACCCTTGACCAGTGAAAGTTTTCGTTTATTAGGTAATGATTTTAACATTATTGACCATTTATTGTTCTGAATCAGGGAACACTCTAAATTTTGTGATTTTATCTTTTACTTCCTTGAAGTGAAATATATATTTTAGCGAGGTATGCACATTTGTTTATAGACTACCCCATCCCCAACCAGATACGTGTATGTTTCAGGAATTATTCTTCTATCATACATTTGCAATGAAAATACAAACAATAACATTAGAATAAGGGTTTCAGTAAAAAAAAAAACATACTCGCAGCATTAGGAGGCGTTATAATTCTACGTAATGTCACGATATAGAAAAATGCCGTAACACCTTTAAAGAAGTGAAAAGGCGTTACTATGCCTTTTGGAAAAAAAAATGTCGTAATTACACCAAAAGAATTCATTTTGCAATCATGTATACAGTTTGCTTGCCAAATGTCCAGATTGAAATACGTTAAGTTTTTCAAAGGTATTTGAATTTTTAATCTATGACCAAAGTCTACGTGTATCCCAAACCTGTATGAACCTAAAGTCATAATTATCGTAATTATGACTTGAGTTAGAAGGAAATTTTCAAAGGTGTGTTTTAATGCACGACCAACTTAACCCTACCTTAAACTTCGGGCTTGAACCTTGAACCCGTAGTGCATACTTTTTTTCACGCTTTTTGGTAGAAAGCTTAAATGCTCTTGATAAAAAATTGGACAGTTTTAAAATAAATATTCAGGAAGAAAGATTTCCAGAGGTATATT